CTAATACTTTTATTAAAATCTAAGAAGCTAAATACTTACCGCAAGAACTTGTAGCAGGAAATAAAACCACGATTTTAGAGAGAAACTAACTAGGGAGTGATAATGGGGGAGACCTAGAGAATTTGGGTGGGAGAAGAAGTCTGAAACGTGGTTTTGTGGGAGAAGAGAGTAAAGTGTATGAAAAGATAGAGAGAGAACGTGGTTTGTGAAATTTATCGTGATTATGTGAGAGAAAATCTGAAAAAAGAGAGAGAAAAATATTAATTAGCGTATATGGTGTCTTAAGTATAGGATGTAACCATAATTAAATAGTTTGCTATAAAGGGTAAAAGGTAGCTATATAATATAATTTTTTTAAAAAGGTATTTATTTAAAATAAATAGGGTATTAAGCTTTTCCTTTCTTATTTTTGTTATCATATACTCCTTTTGGCCCACTTTAATTAATTTTTTGGCCTTTTTTTGTAGTCCATAATATTTGATTTTTTCAGATGTCAAGAAGAAATTAACTTCTTTTTTGAAAATTGCCCTTGGATTAAAGAACCTAGGAGTATTTATTATATTTTCAATGAATAAATTAAAGTTAATATGGTTAATTTTATTATTAGCTAATGTTAAAGATGAATTTCTTAATTTATGTAAAACTAGCTAAAACATCAATTAAAATTGACCGGATATTAAAGTACCTATTAAAATCAAGAAGCTAATGTACCTCTCAAAGAAAAAGAATCAAATGAGAGAAAAAGATCCCAATCTCAATGACTTTGGATATTAAAGATGTTACTACAAAAACATTGGAACTAGGTCATATCAAAGCCAAGACTCCATATCTTGAAGATAGTATAAAGTGAAATTCATGTATTAGTCCATTTTCTTGAATAGATAAGAGATCAGCTAAAGCTCCTCCCTCCATTTGAGGAAGATACTTCAGGTAATCATGTGAATTTTTGGACATAATATAATCCAAAAGTAAATTCAGAATTTAAATTTAATGGGTCTTAATATTTATTCTCATAAGTAAACACGTTGCACTCTCGCAGTTACGGGTTCATAACTTAGTATTGGCTAAAATTTTAGTGATTTATATTTATGTTTCGTGTAAAAAAATATTGAGTTCAATTAAATCCGTCGGAACTACACTGCATTTGTCTTTGGAGCAGATACAACACTAGGTTGAACAAGATCATGTGTGAGTAGGGCCATATTATCAACAACTTGGGATTTATATATATATATATCTTCCTTATGACTTATCTGGAAAATAGAATAAATTCCTTTACTAGCAAGTTTGTGATGGAATGGTAAGTACTCATTTATCTTAACTAGAGGTCTTGGGTTCGAACTTTGAGTATGAGGTCACCTTTGTTAGGGATCGCTCTACCTTTAATGGGGACTTACCTGGCGAATCAGAATTTAATTGAGCCGCAATGCGAATACCAAACACCGAGTGGAAACCAAAACACAAAGGATAAATTCCTTTCAGTTGGAAAAAGTTTTGAATATTTAGTACAATGTCTGATTATTGAGGCATCATGTTCTCTAGTTGTGTTAGGACTAGGGAGTTAAAATTCCTTTTATGTGACAGAACAAAAATAATATGTCGTACGTCAAGAATTGGTGTGTCTGAAACTAGATCCTAGTTGTAACCTAAGGATATTGAGCTAGACTTTGTTATGTTTGGTTGGGGCTAAAGGGAGGGTAAGTAGGAGAAAGGGAAATAAACCAAGAATATTATAAGTCATTTATGCTTGTTGAGATAGTGTACTTTCTTCATCTACTTTCACTAAATACAAAGTTTAAGAGATTATATATTTGTGAAATTTGATAGAGATAACATTAATTATGTTAAAGTTTAAATCTGATTATCCAAATGAATTTGAATTTTTAAAAATTGTGAAAGTCGTACAAACTAATTAATTAGTGGAATAGTTCAAAACATACTTCCTTCGGTCCACTATAAGTGACCAATTTGGTTTTTTATTTTGGTCCAAAATAAGTGTCCATTTATATAATCAAGAAAAAATTGAATTTATTTTGACAAAAATTATCCTTATGTACATATCCCTAAAAAGTTTTCTTACTTCTCACATTAAATATTTAATTAAGGGTAGTTTAGTCGTACTAGATATTTTTGTATAGAATTTAATATTTTCTTAATGGACATGCCAAAAGCAAATTAGACATATGTGGCACCATTTGATTGCTGGACAGCCTGTTTGAGAGAAAAAATGAAGACCTTTTTAAAAACATAAGCTAAAGAGCACAAAATACTGAAAACGCTCTTTCACCAAACAACTACTTTTTTTGTTAAATCAAGTGTGTCTACAGAAAGAACAAATGAATCATACAAAATTAAATGAGTGGTGCTAAAATAATTGTAAGGGAGGGAATATCATATAAATTAGGACGCTGAAAGGGAAGTTTAATTAAACGAAGAATTTGATTTATCTTCGGCTCAACGCTTGATATCTATCCAATTGGTCAACCTTTTTTCACTTTTCTTAGTGTTTAATACTGGTCATTTTTTGGTCTTATCTTTGAAAAATAGTCATTATCCTAGAGTTTCAAATTTCACTAAGTACAACAACAACAATAACAAATCTTGTACAATCTCACATGTGAGGTCTTGGGAGGGTAGTATATACGCAGATCTTACTTCTACCTTATGAAAAATGAGAGGTTGTTTCCAGTAGACCCTCGGCTCAAGAACAGTGATAAGGACACAATAAACCAGCATTAACCATGACAAGGAAATAAGATAAAAGAAATATACATCATATCATGTAATAGCAGAGAACTAAGAATACGAAGCTATAAGAGAAGTGCGAAAACTACCAGCAATAATGTCAAGGAACTCGGAATAGAAGAATACAAGATTAGTACTATTACTATTAATACGACTAGAAGAGACTCTCGACTACCTGTCAACCCACAACCCTAATCCTCGACCTCCACACCTCCCTATAGTGGGTCATGTCCTCGCTAAGCTGAAGTAGAGTCATGTCCTGCCTATTCACATCTCCCCAGTACTTCCTAAGTCTTCATCTACCTCTCCTCTGACCTGTTGTGATCAACCTCTCGCATCTCCTCACCGGGGCATCGATGTTTTTCCTCTTTACATGCCCGAACCATCTCAGCCCTGATTTCCGCAATTTATCTTCCATAGGAGCCACACTCACTTTGTCCTTAATAATTTTATTCCTAATCTGGTCCTTCCTGGTATGCCCATACATCTATCTCAATATCCTTATCTCTGTTGCTTTTATCTTCTGGACATGAGATTTCTTGATTGGCCAACTCAGCTCCATACAACATAGTTGGCCTACCTACACTTTGTATAACTTGCCTTTAAGACTTGGTGGCACATTCCTATCACACAAAACACCGGATGCAAGCCTCTATTTTATCCACCCCGCTCCAACATGATGTGTAACATCCTTGTCAACCTCCCCGTTCCCCTGAATAACATACCCAAAATATTTGAAAATGTCCCTTTTGGGTATGACTTGTGTATCAAGCTTCACCTCCGCTTCTGTTTTCTGCGTCCCCACACTGAACTTGCACTCCAAGTATTCAGTTTTTGTCCTACTCAACTTGAAACCTTTAGACTCCAGGGTCTGCCTACAGCTCTAGCCGATCGTTAACCCCGCAGCGCGTCTCATCGATTAGCACAATGTCATCTGCAAATAACATATGCCATGTCACCTCCCCATGAATGTGGCGTGTCAGCACGTCCATCACCAGGGCAAGTAAAAATGGGCTAAGAGCTGAACCATGTAACCCCATCATCACAGGAAAATAGTCTGAGTCTCTCCCCACAGTCCGCACCCGAGTCTTCGCTCCTTCGTACATATCCTTAATCATCCTAATGTACGCCAGCGGAACTCCTCTAACCTTCAAACATCTCCATAAAACCTCCCTTTAGACTCTATCGTAAGCTTTTTGTAAATCGATGACAAACATTATTTTCCATGATAGGGACTGAAAATAAAATCATAACCAGCGATGGTAAGACTCCATGACTAAAATAGTGTTGCGTTTTATACGAAAAAGAAAAAAGAATAATGCTGAATTAACGATTTGACAAACAAAATACGCGGTATTCCTAATATTTTTTTTTTGTCCTAGTACTAGTATTTGGTATTAGATCATTCGTAACATTGTTTGCCTAATTATTTTTCGTAACTATTGTGTCAATTTCGCTATATCAAATGCATACAACCAACCTCAGATTTTGTTGTATCAATCCGTTGCCAGCAGCTTGTATCAACTGTATTTGTTCGCGCATATAGTTGTATCAACGAATACAGTTTTGATGGAAAAATTGTATTAACTGTATTCGTTCAGGCACAATAACTGTATCAATGAATACAGTCGCGCTTAATTGTTTTATCAATGAAGACGACCTTCAACACCAGGGAAGGGAGGTGCAAAACAGGAAAATAAAGAGAAAAAAGAGAGGAGGCGGTCAATTTCAAGCCATATAAAAATTACTCTTCATCATTATTTAGTGAATAGACTAAGAATCAAAGTCAAAATCAAACTTATCTTTGCAGCGAAAATGGCAAATGCGGAGGAGACAGTGGATTTCGAGGTAGAGAAAGACGATCGGAGGTACAAAGATGAAAGAACTGCTGGGTTTCATGATTTTGCAATGGAAAGAGCTGCTGGTTTGAAGGCCTATGGTAGAGGAAGTAGGTCTAAGTCTAGCGATGTATTATAATTATTTTAAAGTGTATCTATTTAAGATAAATATAGTGTATAAGTCAATTATAGCATACAAATTTTCCAATTTTCTTTTCTTTTTCACTTCTTCCATGCCACTGGACTCGTCAATCTATTTGGCCAAGTCTCAAATCGATCATCAACACATGGATCAACAATTTCCCACATGTAACGAGCAAACATTGCAGAAAGTACTATAAAGGACCAATTCAGCTGTCATAGAATAAATGCGCCAGGACTCGACGCAATAACCTCGGATGTATAAGAAGACAACCATAATCAAATCGATCCCCAATTATATGTTTATTAAAGTGGGACTTAGAGCTTGCAAGTTGCAACTCACAATCAGTCAATCTGCAATAATATGTTCACTGAAACTTTTAATATCAGGTATTCATCCATCCTATAAAATGAAAGCTGTGGCAAAAACAAAGTATCAAGATCCTAAATGTAGGTGAGAATACAAAAAAAAAATTATGAAACAAGTCTCCCCTATCATGGGGTGGATCCTGCAGCTGGAGTATTACCAAGTTTCATCTAGCATGTTGCTTTTCCTACTGCACCGAAAGATAGTCTTGATCTCCTGTCTGCACCAAAGCTGAACTTTAGATCTGAAGCATCCACGGAGACAGACGCATTGCTCGTAGAGGGAAAAGAGAAGACCAAGCGTTCAGCTGATTTCCCCGTGCCAAAGCTGTATACTGGAACAGTGGATGCATCCGTGGGCTGAGAGAGGACACTGGCTGAGGACGATGGCATGATGGATGGTGTTGGTGGTTCTGAAAGTGCACCAGATGAAGCAGCTACTGGAAAAGTGAATCCAAACCCATTGTCAGGGAACGTTGCATTTCTAGGATTCCGCTTATTAATAGAAATGGATGGCAAAGTAGGTTTTGTCCCGGAGGCCTGTCCAGCAGCATTTCTTGGTAGCTCAAAACACGTGGAGTTGGATAACGTTGTGGCATTCTGCCCATTACTTTGATGAAAAGGCCACCGGGGGGTAGTACCTTTATCTTTCTTTCCTTCATCAGTACCTTTATCTTTCTGTCCATCATCAGTGCCTGCAGAGTCCTGCAGAATAGACTTACCATGTTAAAGCGGCGATTCTGTAAAATAATTAGCAATGCTCAAAAATCAACATCCTCTGGTGGTTTCTAACTCTTGCACCCTCCATTTCCAAATACATAAATTTAATGTTTTAACTCTGTAAAGAAAGGGTTATCTTTTTTAACAAACTCGGGATTGCCAGGAAGGTGCAAAATAATGTCATTTGTAAAGGTAAGTACCTGGTCCAAACTAGGAGTGCGAGAACCAGAAAAGAAATTTTTAACTTGGGAATCAGCAACCTTAAAAGTGAATGAAGGCACTGTATCAGCTCCAGTCGTCGCAACAAATACACCATCTATGCTAGAAGCTTTAGCACTAGCATCCGCAGCAGTGTCAGCTTCACGCACAGTTTGCTCCTGAGATATTTCCACGTGATTGACTGTGCCAATATCTCCATCCTTGGACGATCGGGCAGCTGCCAGCCCATTGTTCCTGCGCATACCAAATTCTCCTAAATGTGATGATTTTGTTTTACCATTTGGAGTGGAATCAGAGATTTCATTGCGGGGATATTTCTTCCATTCGCTGGCCAGCTTCAATTCAGCTTCCTTTTCTGCAGGAGTGGGCTTGTGTCTATCAAGTTGCTCTAATATTTTTCTTACAGTCTCATTGAGCGGCATAGCTTCTTCAGACCTGCTTGCTCTATGCGGCACTGATTTGTCCTTCTCGACACCACTAGGTTGACCAACTTCCAAGTTCTTCCTAGAAGCAGGCGAGAAAACTTCAGAAGCACCAATTTTTCCTAAAGGTGAAGAAGCATTTCTGGAATTCAGGAATATGGATCTCTGAGGCCGAGATTCTGATCCAAATTTATTCCGTATACGCCGAATGGGTCCCGCAGATCCATAGCTTAGATGAGGTAAATCACTCCTAGTCTTCTCCTGAAATTTTTATAGCATGAGAACATTCAGAAAGATCACAACTGCTCCTTGAAAGTATTCTAATTAGATTACAATAAAGATTAATGATCACAGAAAATCTTATAAACATGCAAAAACCATTAAATCAGTAGAGGAAACATCAAATAAGAAGTTGCTAAAAAGATCAGTACAGGAAACTTCAAATAAGAAGTTGCTTTGATAGACAGGAATTTTGTCATTGAATTAATTTTAGACTTGCTAAGACAAACATATACCTGGCTGTAGATTGATGATTGAGATTGTTGGAAGGTTTTCGCTGAGAGATCTGGCCACTTGCTACCAGCCTGCGACTGAGTCTGCTCACAAAATGTAAGTGCAACAAGAATAAATATTCCTGTATTAGCAAAAGTATGCTTGAAACACAGCTAAATTTTGTCACAATACAAACCCTATCTCTGGATTTCGGTAATAAAGTTCTAGAGTATGGGGTCCTCGGAAACTCAACAAGCCCATATCCTCTCTGACTCTGTGGAGTAATATGACTATGCTGATCTTGCAGCATGGCAGCCGGCCAACAACTCGATGACTTAAGCGAAGGTGGCGGATGAAACCTGTTTTGTGGAACTTGTTCTCCCTTGGATACAAGACTGCAAGAATCATATCCTTTTTCCAACCTACGACTTCCCATGTAAGCTCTTGCAATATCAATGGGTGAAGCGCCAACTTCATCTTGTACCTGCAGTAGTGGACTATTTGATAAATACATCCTAGTATCAACACCAAAACTTTGAAAGAAGACTGCATCAATTTGGTATTTCATGAAATAATTATTTCCACTTGTTACTTCGGAGCTATTCCAGACTTTATTCGCTAGTGCACTTTTCACCTGTTAAGGCTTTCATTTGAGACCATCTCTCGAGATGAAGTTCAACACGCTAAAGTACTATTATCATGGACATTTCACAAAACAAGCTGTGGTAATGATAGACGGGTTGATAATGATAATTAACTCACATTTGTTTGGGGAAGAGGTGTTGAAGTTCCTGGCATAGCAAAATTTGCTTGGGGAAGAGGTGTTGAAGCTCCTGGCATAGCAAAATTTATTTGAGGAAGAGGTGTTGAAGTTCCTGGCATAGCAAAATTTGTTTGGGGAAGAGGTGTTGAAGTTCCTGGCATAGCAAACTCCATTTCATCCTGCTTCTTGTGATATGGTCTTCTAGGTGTCTCGTGTGTTAAATGAAACCTTCCAACGTCCCTTTCAGCTGTTTTGCTAGTTTTCTTTTCTTGGTCATCAATAACCCTCGAGTTTAATATCTCTGTCAAACGCATTATTTCATCTCTGCATATAGTGAAAGACTGCTTTTGAATAAGAAGGTTTAACTGACAAAATTCAAACGATATACATGGTGAAAAGAGTTTCCTGAATGTACACAAGACATAGGAATCCAGCATCAAGTCTGGACGTGCAAAGCATTGGAGGGTCACCAAAAAGAGGAAAGGGTGATAATGTCAGAAGCTCAGTCCCCAGCAATTATAGAGAACTGCATTCTCAAACCAACATGGGCTACGAGGAAAATAAGCAATTTTAAAGGTGCATGCATTTTTCACATGAAGCAGGAATTGCTTCCTAACTTTTTCTAATGAGGTATAATGAGGTAGCACTGCAACAACATGATAGAAAAAAACAGAGACATGAAGAATGATATGCTACCTCGAAAATGATTTCCCCTGCATGAGCCGCTCAATTCTGGAAATCTCAGATTTATCAGAGGAATTCTGTGATTTCTCTTCTTCCTGCTTCTCTGCTTCGGAGATCCCATTCAATTTTACCATTCTTTGATCCTCTTCCTTTCCTTCAGAAGATCTGGATATCACATACTGCATAAACATAATATCCAACACTTTGAAGAAATTCTTTTTACTAGAAACAATCTTACCTAAAAAAAGTTTAGTTCCTTCTCTCTCTCTCTTTTTTTTTTTNTACTTGACCTAGCAGCCTTTTTACCCCAGTAAAATGTGTATCAGTCCCTTCTCTATTGGTATAGAATAAATATCAAAATTATAATATGACATGATCCATTCATGGGAACCGAAAAATTTAGACACACCACTGACAAATATTATTTATGCAAGTTTCACAACAACAACAAACCCAGTATAATCCCACGAGTGGGGTCTGGGGAGGGTAGTGTGTACGCAGATCTTATCCCTACCTTGAGGATAGAGAGGTTGTTTCCGATTAACTTTATGCAACTTTCACGAGTTTCAAAAAAGAAATAACTATTCTCACAAAACCCATTACAAGTAGCCTTCACAAAAGACAAAACACTACATGCTCCTAACCCTGAGAATACAATTCCCCGGTTTTCCCTTATTGTTCACTATCACACTTAAGGTTGGTAACCAACCCTGTTAACTCAACAACCCTCTTTTTTATTTCTTTGATTCCCTATTTCCATTTAATATCCTCTTCCAAAATTGAAGCAAAGAGATTTCCTGCTTCCTTACCACTAACCCAATTTTTACTTGCAAAAATTCCTTAAAAGCCTTAAAACTGTTACAGTTCATAGTATGACATCTGACACTGATCCAGAGCATTGTTTTGTGACTATAATGGCAAAAATATTCCTCCACCTCAAACTAAACCTCTTAGTAACAAAAATTTAATCTTTACTTCTATCAACAATTTTTGTAAGTCTAATTTTACCTAAAAAGAGGCATAGAATATGACATACTTAAACCATAATGTTATTTGGGTCTTGAACTGTATCTTCTCAACAAAGGACTTCGGGGTTTCAAATATATTGCAACTATTTTCTTTTTGATGAAGCAATATTGCAACTATTTTCAAACACATACTGCCAAAAGCTTGCATACTAACCTATTCAAGCTTTCTTTATTTAAGCTCTGTGCAAAACAAAAAGAGAAATGGAGCAGAGAGTAACATGCCTAGTAATTAGTGGTACCACGGCCACAGACAACAATTAATCATAAATAAAAGAAACAATATTTGGCCTACTTTGACTTTCGGAACGGAACATTATTTTTGCACCTTCATGAAATCTCATCTGATTCCATTAGACCTACCTCTTTTCAATAGGCAAAAGGGATAAATTGACTTCAGAGAATAAAATTCGGCAGAAGCCTTTTTCTTTTTTTATTACTGTATAAGTATAAACGGCCTCTTGCAGAAATGCAGGGTAAGGCTGCACACAATAGACCCTTATGGTCGGGCCCTTCCCCGAACCCCGCACATAGCAGGAGCTTAGTGCACCGGGCTGCCCTTTTTGATATTGATTTCAGCTACGATTGCTGCAAAGTATTTAGGGACAAACCTGCTTATGGTAATTTCTTTGAAGGATTTATCAGAAAAGCATATATAGAAGGTTTCGAACATAATATGCCATAGCAGCCAGAAAAACACTAAAGAAACTACATAGAGCCCATTTGAGTTAGCTGAATAAAAGTAGCTTCTAAGCATCAAGTGCTGAAAAGCGTCTTTTAAGTGTTGGAACTGATTTTATGAAAAATGTTGTTATGTGTTTGGATAGATATGTTGAAACTGAAAATAAGCCATTGATGTGTTTGGTGAAAAGTGCTGAATCAACCGTTTTTCAGTGAAAATGACCAAAAATATCCTTAAATCTGTCAACACTAAAAATAAGATGATTACCGGAGGATTTTAATTATAAATTGATTCAACAAATTAATTAATATCTTATTGTGTATGTGTTGTGTGTAACGCAATGCACATGGATTAGAATCGATACTATAGAACTCAATAGCACGACAAAAATGAACTATTCATCTAATAAGTTTTTAAACAGTGTGCTCTCAGTAATCTCCACTTTGTGGACATACTAGTAATGAACTTACAAGTATGTAACACTATTTATTGATGTGAACATATATGTCTAATTACTGGGTGGTTGTTGTTGTGAACATATATGTCTAATTACTGGGTTGTGGGTTGTTGTTGTTGTTGTGAACATATATGTCTGAAGCTTTCAATAATTTAAGAGAACCTTAGGATAAAAAGACCAAGAGCCTATCGTGTGAAAAAATATTACAATAGAGGAAAAAGAAGTGTCAAGAAAATATTCGCACTTATATGTAGGCATGAATAACTTCGTTAAAAGAGAGAATCATCTATTGAAGATTTTTTTCTTTTTTTGAACTCCGGCTACTAATGACTTTGCTAAATGCCAGCAAAGAGGAAAAAACCAAATGGGAAACTAAAGACAAAAGCAGCCGAATCACATTTTTGGGCACGTAAATGGAAAAGAAATAGAGTGGAATTAGGGGTATTCTAGGGATTATAAGAAAATGTAAGGGATAGCAAAACAAATTACTTGGTCAAACAAAAAAACTTAGTTGAAAACCCATAAGTTGAGGGTACCCAGCTTATGGCTTATTTTAGCTTAAAAGCACTTTTCGTGTTTACTAAACACCAAAACAAGACAAAATCAGCTTTAAGCCAATCCAAATACCCTCAAAGTTAACAGCCCCATGAAAAAAAATCACTTTTTTTGAAAAACTCACTTTTTTCGAAATAGGTGTTTGGCCATAAAATTTTCAATTTTCAGTTGAACATGACTTTTGGAATTTTTCAAGAGTTTGAAAAACTCCAAAAAATTGTTTTTCACAATTTTCACTCGGATCACTCACAAAAATTCAAAAACAATCCAAAATTATATTCATGTCCACACACAACTCTAATTTTCAAATACCATTTTCACTTGAAAAAATATTTCACTTTTTCGGAATTTTACAATTGTTATGTCAACGCCCACTAAGTTACCTAAAAGCTACCATTCTCCACAGTTTCATGCCATATTTAAGCTTTGCGATGAACTCACAAGTAGGTGATGATAAATTTAATCAGCAAATTGTAGAGCCTTTTCTAAAGTTTAACTCAAAAGCATTTTATAATTCATATTACCTCGGTACAAGTTTATGAAATGATTTCTTTTCCAGAACGGTATGAAGTATTTTACATACTCAACAGATGAAAAGTTGTTTCTGTTAAGAATACAGATTCACAATAACATATATGATTAAATATTTTCTTTTTTGAGAATGGTAACATTTTATATTTTGAATTGATTTTTTTTCAAATATTTTATATTTGATTAAATCATATTTTAACATTTTATATTTGATTAAATATTTTCTAGAATACAAACTAGTAAGAGCTTATTTCAGTGTGATTTTGATGTGCCCGGAACGAAATAAACTTTGCACTTCTCTTTATTAAGATGAACTTTAAATATAAAACTATTGCAGCATTGTTTTTGTCTAACACCACTAACATAATATATGCCCTCACTGTCCTCTAACACTTTCTATTGAGAAAACACAGAAGTTTGATAAAACACAACAAACAAGAAAGTAAAGAGTATACACAAAATTTAAAAATTAAAATAATAATCATGTTATGATACTGGTTCCTCCCTAACTCCCCAGAAAATTTTTAACAATTCATTTGAATTTTTGTTTAAATCATAATCATGATATGATACAGCTTTCAGGTTTCTTATCAATTCCTAGATAAAATTTTAACCAGTAATTTGATATTTTCTTAGTGTATCAAAGATAATATACAGGTCAAATTGGCTTCTAACTTCAAACCAGTCAACTGTGTCTAAGTAAACAGTGATCAACTTTGTGATTCTCATAGCCTAAAGAGCATATTTACTCTTTACCATGTTTATTTGGTAAGCTAATTTTCCTGGAGTATCTGATCAGGATGGAAAATTGCCAACTGTTTTTCTAAAAACTAATGCATCAGCATTCAGCAACTAAGAGTTAGTGCATAACGATGACTTCAGCAGAGATATATTATTATGTAACCCTTGTCTTTAAATTTTCAAAGTCACCTATACCTCCAAATTCTATTCTTGTCCAACAGTTAATGACCATCAAAACTAAGTGTTAGATAATTTACATGTTCAATTACATTTCAAGCCCCTTTGTCTCATGTAGTAAGAATGCTGACATAATAACAGAGGAACATCCTCATCTTCACATGCTTTCCCATAAAATGGAGAGATAACAGAAAGAAATTAACAAAGCAAAATGAGTCAAAGAAGTTGGCAAAGCTTACACTTGGAGTACATTTCTCGTCATTCCCTAAATCTTGTGTTGTTGCGGGATCTTCTTTATCTGTCCCAAATAGTTTTTGTAAGATTGCCGATCAAACAGAGAAAACAAAATAAAAGATAATAAGTTTAGTGATATATCTTCTACAAACTGAGACGTGTTGAATTATTTGAGTTTCTTAAGTACAATTCCAAGTAAAAGTTTCCTTTTTTTCAAAATTCAAAACTCATTTAAAAGATCCTATTAAAAAAAGTGACACGACATTTCCCATAACAGAGGAAATGATCAAAATGGTCCTTAATGTATGGCAGCTGCTTTATCTTGGTCCAGTTTTTATGCTATAGATTTTAACCAGTAGCAGGGAGTCTTTAATCTCGTGTGAGCTGCACATGGGGCACCTAGGTTAAATTTAACAGCCCTTTTTGACAAATCTGTTAGGTTTAGGGCAAAAGACCAAATATGTTATCTTTTGATATACATTAAGGACCATATCTGTTAAGGGTAATACATTAAGGACCAAGATAAAGCAACCTCCATACATTAAAGACCATTTTGATCATTTCCTCCCCATAACATCGACTATTCACTTTTATCAAAACTTACTAACATAATACACAAATCAAAAATATCTCAAGTAACATTTTGCCGTTCAAGCTAACATCAGATAATATGGGATAAAGAGAGTATCCCGTACTGAGTAGAAAATATATCCCACATACTTATGATCATACATTTATTAATCTCGTGCAGCGTTACAATGTGCATGTTCATTTACTGTTGATCTTCAGCGACATGGTTGTTTTATGTTCTTAACTCACTCCCTCTATCCAATTTATGTGAAGGAGTTCGCCGTAAAAGGGTCAAAAACAATTAATTTTCAATGTGAATTTGGACATGAATTCTTCAAGTTTTTAAAATTAAAATTTACATATTTGAAAACTACATGAAAAGTACTACTTCCTCTGTTTCAATTAATGTGATCCAATTTAACTAGGCTATAATATATGTATGGCTATAAAACTTTTGAAATTTGTGGTCTTAGACATGCCAAAACATTTTGTGTTGCTATAAAAGATTATAATTAAGGGTAATATGGAAGTTTCAATTAAATTCTTCGCAAATTTAGAAAGAGGTCGTTCTTTTTGGAACAGACTAAGAAAGAAGTAAGGTTACATAAAAAGAATTGATGAGTATAAGTCAACGTAGTTAATAATACAAAATATTTAAAAAGGGTTTAAGAAAATCGTAGTTAAAGAAAAAACTTTTTGACTCTAGAAATACTAGCGTGTTCATGTAAAATGGGACAGGGGGAGTACTATTTATACGTAGTCCCTTTTATTTTGGCAATGTCATGTATTTTCAGTGTGCTAAAGCCATTTATTTATTAATAAGTACTCAGAAAACCTATGGAGGCAACAAAGTAGAAGTTGCTTAATGTTGTTTGATTCTTTTCAAAGGAAACATTAGAAAGACGTTGCTAGTGCGGTATAGCAAGAGGACCGCATGGAAGATTTGATATCCACGAGACCTATGCCATAGGCCCGATAATTAAGGAACTAAAGGGAAATCACTTTTAAACACCAACTTTCACGAACGCAATAGCAACACTCCTTTGGTCCCATTTAACATGATGGTATTTAACATGACAAAAACATGAAGATTTATATTATATTAATGATAATGGAAGAAAATATGGAAAATAAAGATAAAAACAAATTCAAGAAAAAACAAATATTTAAAGATTTCAAATTTTGAAAGTTGTGAAGGTTAATAAAATAGAATGAGCATAAACATTTCGGGACATCCCAAAAATGGATAGAAAATCATGTAAAAAAAAAAAATTGATAAGGTCATGTAAAATTGAAACAGAGATGGTCACAAATGTTAACTACGATGAGGGATGTGAGAATTAGTCCAACTAGAACTTAAAGAACAAGGAACAAAAAAGACCAAAGTAAAAGCAGCGCCAGGCGTTTCGCAATCAAGATGCTTGCATGTACAAAGACCAGGAATAGAAAAATCTACAAAGCCTTGATTGACCTCAAACAGCAAATTCAAACCATTTGCCAAACATGTTGAACTCTGGCTTATTCTATCTCGCTATAAACCCAAACAATTATCTTAACACATAACCTGGGAGTACGGAAGGGAATGGAACAAAAGCAAATGGTAATAGTTTCTCTTTTCATGTTTGCAAAGGCCAAAAGAAAGAGCAAGGTAACTACAAATGAGGAAAATATTCCCATTGGCCCCTTGCAATTTTTTTCATAGCCGAGAAATCCAGAGGGCAACTAGCGCAAGGTTTGAAACACGATGGATAATTGGTACGCCCCTCTACCTTTTTCCACTAAAATGCTAGGCTTTTATCTACAATAGGGTTCAAACTTGTGATGTGCGCCTAATCCACATATCATGCGTTGTCCTCTTACCAGTAGACCAAGGACCTAGGGGCTAGCTCCTTGCGAATTTTTATCTCCCTTTTCTAGATGGAAGAGATAAGAGAAGATGAAACCTCATAGTGTCAACCAAACGAATTTTATAATACTCCCTCTGTTTCAATTTATGTGAACCTATTTCCTTTTTGGTCCGTTCCAAAAAAGAATAACCCTTTTCTAAATTTGAAAACAATTTAGCATAAACTTCCAATTCTACCCTTAATGAGAAACTTTTATAACCACACAAATACTCTGGACTCCTTTTTGACTTGTTTAAGACCACAAATTCCAAAAGTCTTCATTTTTCTTAAACTTCGTGCTCAGTCAAAGAGATTCACATAAATTGGAACGTAGGGAGTAGTTCTTACTACATTCTTGGGACAAATCAAAAATAGGCTGGCCATTGAAATAAAAGAGTACTCACAACCAATTTAGAAGCACCAAAAGTATGTTTGGTCAAAGTGAAAACTATGTCACCTCCAGGTCCAAGGCTCAAATTACCGTTACAACACTCACTGTGAGCCTATTTACGTCAACCTTAGAGGTCAGGATTACCCAACACCTATAAATGTAGGTTGCAACAAGCTATAAGTGGGTTTTTCGAGGTGGCACAGCCTAACCAAGACAACAACGTTACAACAACGACGACATCTAATTCCCAATCTCAAACACGTTAAGGTCGGCTATATGAATCCTCACTGACCATGTCACTTCATTTGAGCTCATCTCAGACTAGTATTATATTTTTATGAATAGAAAGTAATAGAGGTTTCTATAGCTTCCACTAGTATATAAATCTTTAAACAAACTAAAAAAAGTTAGAAACCATAAGACTTAAAGTAAAGGTACTAACATGAATAAAAATGTTTCTAACTAATTAGTATATCGCCTATATAATCTTTCCTTCCATTATGCCCTACTTTTTGCTAAGATTGCATGATTCCAAGAGATTGAATGTCTTTCGAGATAACTTTCATTTGATTTTAGATATCTTGTCCTTTTTTAACACCTTAATTGACTATGGTTCACACCTATGGATCGATGCATTTGGAGGTCAACTAAGGACATGACCAAATTATCTCAAGCAACTTTTTCTCATTTTATCCTCGATGTGTGCTACTTGTACCTTCTATTAAACGTGATAATTCTTTATTTTGTCTCATCTTTTATGACTACACATCCAACCCACATCTCTGCAACACTCATCTGGTGGATGTGTTTGACTTTAGCCGCCGTTTCATGCAAATTTAACAATGTTGGTCTTAAGAGTGTTTTATAAAACTTGCCTTTTACTTTAGTGGACATCCTTCTATCACATAACACTCCAGTCGCACTTCCGATTTCAACCATTCAGTTTGTATTCTATCTGTAACATCTTCATTTATCATGCAATCCTCCTCGGATACCAAGCCAAGAAACTCGAATTTTTTGCATTTAGGCCATGCAATCCCATCTAATCTCACCTCAAATTCACTCTTCTTAAGCTGACTAAACTTGCAGTGTATATTTCTTTTGGTAACGGCAGTAAAACGATACCACCATTACCGAAAAGAAAAAGGCCACATTCTAATGCAATGAGATACCTTCTTCGCTATTAATAACAATCATTTTAAGAAAGTAACCGGCCAAAACCCCCTTCCTCACATGATCACTGCTACTTTTTGTAACAAGCCATAGAAAAAATTGTGATCACAATAGGTATTAGGTAATGACTATGCGCTAGATGTGGTGTTCATTCGAGCTAAGTAGCAAGTATAACTCCCGGCCCCAAAAAGTTAAACTTCTGCCAGCTTTTGTCATTTCAACTAAGCAAAACTACAATGCCATTACAATTCATCAACAGTTACCATTAAACTAAATTAAGCTAAAGATTCACGAAGGCCAAAATTGGAAATCACCAGGTTTCATGCAAGGTCATAATGAGATGGGAGATGCTAAAAACTAAAGTTTACACCTAAACAACAACAACAACAACACCCC